ATTTGTAAGGACAGTACCAAGTCTTCTAGGCATGGAATGAACAAGTTGGCAACATATTGCAACATCTATCTTTTTCCATTCATCAAGAACGACCTCTTTTAGAGCCTGGATGCTGGATGGAGAGTGATGCTTGTCGCATCAGAATTCCCCATAGGTGTTTGATTGGGTTCAGTTCAGGAGACATACTTGGCCACTGAATCACTTTCACCCTGTTCTTCTTCAGAAATACAAACGTGGCTTTAGATGAGTGTTTTGTATCATTGTCATGTTGGAAAAGTGTGCGATGTCCAAGGGCATGGAGTGATGGTAGCAGCTTCTCTTTCAATACAGAGCAGTACATCTGTGAATTCATGATACCATAAATGAAATGCAGCTCCCTGACACCAGCAGCACTCATGCGGCCCCACAAAAGGACACTGCAACCACCATGTTTTACTGTGGGCACCGTGCATTTTTTTTTTGTACTCCTCATCTTTGCAATGCCATACAGTTTTGAAGCCATCAGTTACAAAACCATTTATCTTGGTCTCATCACTCCAGAGTACAGAGCCAAAGTAGTATTCTTTTTCAGCATGGGCCCTGGCAAATTCTAGGTGGGCTTTTTTTATGCATGGGCTTTAGGAGAGGCTTCCTTCGTGGACAACACCCATGCATGCCATTCCTCTGCAGTGTATGTCGTATTGTGTCACAGGAAACAATCACCCCAGTTTGTCTTACTACTTCTTTAGCTAACTGCAGTAAACTTGCATGGCAATTTTCTTCAACCCTTCTCATCAGAAGATGCTCCTGTCGAGGTGTTAACTTCCATGGATGGCCTGGATGTCTCTGTGAGATGGTTGCAGTTCAATCTTTGTTGAATTTTTTATCACCTTTGCTACAGAATTTCTGACTGATAAGTAAACCTTTGCTGATCTTCCTGTAGCCTTCACCTTCCTTGTGTAAAGAAATAATTTTTCTTTCTCAGGCCTTGTGACATTTCTCTTCCATGTGGTGCCATTGCTGAGAGCATGAAATGGGAAGGGATTTTCTTTAAGCAACTCCCATTTTTATAATCCACTGTCTGCTGGACACCTGTTTAATGAATAATTAGACTCACCTGTAGTTGAATTCTTGTTAATTAGGAATTTGTTGTCTAAAATTTATCTTTGCTCCTAAGACTTGAGGTGTATTCATTTTTGCAACATGGTCTTGAATGAATTTCTTAGGAAAAACACTTTTTTTGTGTCTGCAAATTAACAAATCTTGTTTGCAATCAATGGCCCGCATTTGTGGGAGTATTTTATAGTATAGTGTCCCATAGAAAATGTTGATTGTGAAATGAAAGTGAAGGTTTTCTGGCAAATCTTTTGGGGTTTACTCATTTATGCTGAGCACTGTGCACGTGTATATGTGTGTAAGTCTATATATATATATATATATATGTGTGTGTGTAGATATATATATGTGTGTGTATGTGCATATGTATATAGAAAATAGAGAGAGACTTACTGTATATAGTCTTTCTTCTGATGATAGTTTCTCTTTAAACATATGGATATTTGCTGAAGGCACAGCCAGTTTAATGATGTCATTAAGCCTTCCGCAGATCAACCATATGTGGTTTACACAGAAGCATTTTTCTTTTACCACTGATCAATATCAGTGTCTTTACATGCTCTGAAACAATGTTTATACATGTCCCATAAAAAATTCATGTTTTTTCCACTCAATGGATGGAAACAAATATACATATTTACATATGTGTATTTTAATTTTTTCTTACCAATTCATGCCCTACATATTTGCAGTTATGTTGTCCTGTTATGTTGTCCTGTAGGTCACTCATGCCCACTTTGCTAAGGTGTCTTGTGATTTTGTGAAGATTTCTATAGAATTTATCATTTTGCTGTGAATGGCAATTCATGGCATTGAAAACCTATATCTCATGAAATATCTCTTTGAAAAGAACTGTCATGAAATGGCTAGTGATGATTTTTTTAAATAGTTTGATAACACATATATTTTTCACATTGTACCTTTGGAAATGTGCAAAGGGATGTTGTTTTCATTAAAATCAGAGAACCTTCAGATCAGCAGCTTCAAGTTTTATCTTAATTAAAACCTCAATTAACAAACGAAAAGCGGGAGAGGGATCTTTTCTTCCATTGTCTCTGGCACACAGACAGTCTGTAAGGGACCTGGATTAGACAGGAGCTCGTGCCATGCTAGCCCAGGTCCTGCTCCTCTTGTTTCTGGATTGAATGGTCACCTATTTGTTGTTTTTGGCGTTACTCCACCATATTGTATCACCATTTCCTTGGCCTGAAGCCTGCCTCCTCCACATTCTCAGCCTTTGGCCTATCACCCAAGACAAAGGAATGTTCATTCCAAAAGGCTTTTCAATGCTTTACTGCACAACTCAATGATGGTTCAGTAGGTTTCTTGTAAGCACAGTTCCTTTACAGCATGACATCCTTACACATAATTCAATATTCCTTAGTACACGACATCCTGAGCAGTACTTCTCAAGTACAGAACATTCACATAAGTCCCAGAACTGTTAGTCATCTTCCCAGATGGTACCATCTCTATACTGTAGATGTTGCTTACACAGGATGTACCTTCCCCTCACAAAAAGGGAAACCCTCCACAGGCCCAGAGACCTTGCTAAACCAAGCCGCAGGACCCAGTAAGCGAAGGTCAGGGGAACATGGTTTCTGCTCCAAAAGTGTTCTCATCTGAATGCCCTGGTGCTTCAGCTCTGCTGAGGGTTCTCTCACTCACTGCCAATACACAGGCTACATAATGCTGGTCAGGGATGTATCTGCTTCCTTACCCTTTCTATTGTGGTCCCACCCGCAGCTGGCATATAAAAGGCACTATCTGCACCCAATACATCACTACAGAAGGGGCAACAGATATAGAGGCACTAACGAGAATAGAGCCCCATCATTGGTGTCAGTGGATGGAATAGTGCTCCATTATTTGTGTCAATAGGAGGAATAGTGCCCCATCATTGATGTCAATGAGAGGAATAGTGCCCCATCGTTAGTGTCAGTGAGGAGAATAGAGCCCCATCATTAGTGTCAGTGAGGAGAATAGAGCCCCATCATTGGTGTCAGTGGATGGAATAGTGCTCCATTATTTGTGTCAGTGGATGTAACAGTGCTCCATTATTGGTGTCAATGGGAGGAATAGTGCCTCAATATTGGTGTCAGTGGGAGGAGTAGTGCCCCATTATTGGTGTCAGTGGGAGGAGTAGTGCCCCATTATTGGTGTTAGTGGGAAGAGTAGTGCCCCATTATTGGTGTCAGTGTGAGGAATAATAGCCCCATCATTGGTTCCTGTGAGTGGAATAATAGCCCCATCATTGGTGTCTGTGAGAGGAATAATGACCCTTCATGGGTTTCCTTGAGAGGAATAATGCCCTATCATCTGTGTCCATGAAAGGAATAGTGCCCCATCATTGGTATCAGTGGGAGGAATAGTGCACCACTGTTGATGTTGGTGTCAGAAATTACAACCCATTGGTAATATCACTGGGAGGAATAGTGCCCCAAGAGCCAGATAAAGACAAGCTAAGGGCTGTAGTTTGGAGACCACTGTTCTAGAGACAAGAAGATGAAGGCATTGTCAGGGTGAGAACTGTAATCCCTGTGAAAGGTAATAAAACCCATTAAGGTACACATGCACGGTTCTTAGCATGTGTACCATCATGAAAAATGTGTTTATGCGAAGTTCACGTTAAAAATGGTTGTCCTTTAAGATACCTCCTCTGCTTTTATAACCTCTCCTAAATTGCCTCTAAATCATTGTCCTAATGCAGTACTATACACATATGAGCAAGTCCTTATTGCAAACCATTAAAAATTCATGTTTTTTTTTTCCTAGTATTGTTCTTGTGTTACAGAAAATACGCACTGGTCTCAGAAAAGCATGTAATTAAATTCCTGCTTGACACTGGAGAAGTTCATTTAGGTTGCTAATTGGTCATTAGTCTCAAATGAAGTGTTTTTGTGTACACTGAATGTAAGAAGCCAAGTGCAATGGCTGTAATACCCCTACTTAGCAAGTCAGGCATAGCATTAATTAGTTGATTTCAAGTTGTCATTGGTAACAGGAAGATAGAAAGCAATCAAGTAGCACTATCCAATTTGTTTGTTTTTTTTTAAAGCATCTATCTGGTACTGTGTATGTACCGCTGAAATACCCCTATTTTTCTAAAACATTTAAAGTGGCACTAAACCCAAGTTTAAAAGAAAATCATGTTAAATACCTGTAGCTACCTGGGTCTCTACTAATAGCAGCATTGCACAACTTCCTTTCAGAGTGATGTGCAGTCTTTTAATCTACATGGTCCCACTGTATGTGGAAACTTCAAATCAACCTGACGGAATAAAAAGAAATAGCAGTATTGGTGAGCGCATTGATTGATGGAATTTGTAGTTTGTGTAGAGAGGTGCACGTCATCACTGTAAGGGTTCCACAGAGTGATCAGTTAAAAAAAAAAAGTATGTGGCAGAAATTTTGACATTTAGGGCCAGTTCACACTACATGCATTTCAGTATCTTTTTTCTGCATCCAAAATGCACAGAGAGAAGGTTATATGGTTGTCAGTGTCATAGTTCACATCAGTGTTTGCAGTTCCAGTGCATTCCAGTTGCAGAAAAAAAAAAAAAAGTAGAACAGGCTGCATTTTTCCTGTACTGGAATGTGGTATAATGGAATGGAATGTCCCTGTTTAAATTGAAGAAAGAGGGGAAAAATGAACTGGAAATCATCAAACCCGCATCGGAATGTGTAAAACAACGCAACAGAACGCGCCTAAAACGTCTAAAAAAACGCACGTGGAAACGCATCCAGAACACATCTGGACTGCGTTTTTATGGTGTGAACCAGCCCTTAACCACCTCTCGTCCGACCGTTGTATATAAACGGCCTGACGGTGGCACTGCAGGGTCGGGTGGCCGTCTATAAACGGCCTCCCCGTACCCTGCTTGTGCGCGCTCCCTGGGACACAGTGAAACACCGATCGTCGGACGGGACCTCTGTACGAGGTCCCGATCATGTGATCACTGATTGGCCAATCAGTGATCACATGCAAAGTAGTAAACAAGATGTCACTTCTGACATCATTGCTTACTACGTGTGAAATCTGTGAATGATCACAGAGGTCACATGGTACAAGGCTATTCACAAAAGCCTTGTACCATGTGACAAGCTGTGACCAATCACAGCTCACTGTACTGCTAGGGTGACAGTATGTAAAAAAAAAAAAAAAAAAAAAAAAAAAAAAAAAATAAAATAATATAATAAAAAATGTTTAAAAATTATAATTTTTGCTTATAAACTAATTTGGATTTTTTTTTTTTTACTAAAAAGATAACGGAATAAATTTTGGCTAAGATTTATGATGAAATATTTATTTGCAAAATTTTATTAAAAAAACACTTCAAAATTTTTGGATATTTCATTTACATAGCAAAAAAAATACAAATCCCAGTGGTGAATAAATACCACCAAAATAAAGCTTTATCTGTCTCAAAAAAAAGGTAAAAAATTCATTTGGGTACAGTGTTGCATGACCGCGCAATTGTCATTCAAAGTGTGATAGCGCTAAAAGCTGAAAATTGCCCTGGTCAGGAAGGGGGTAAAAGTGTCCGGTCTGGAAGTGGTTAAAGAGAGCGTAGTGGTATAGAATTCTGTTCTGCTCTGCTCGTGGTGTTTAGTTAAACATTGGAGCATTTACTAACACTTTAAGAACTTTTTTTTTATCTTGCTTACCTGCCCTGCTAACTAATAGTTCTATCACTAAACTTCACATGGGGTTTTGATATCGTTTGACCATAAGGCTTCATTCACACACCCTGACTAAATTATGTTCCAGCAGCAGGCAGAAAGTTGCCAAACTACAGAACATAGTGTTCTATACTGCATATATTGATGCTGTATGTCAGTGGTCTCCAAACTGTGGCCTGGGGGCCAGATGTGGCCCTTTGCTTGCTTTTATCCAGCTCTTGGGGCACTATTTCATCTACTGATAGCAACAATGGGGAATAATGTCTCCCACTTACAACAAGGAAGGGGCCCAATGATACCAATGATGGGGCACAATTAATTCCAATAATGAGGCACAATTCCTCCCACTGACAACAATGATGGAGCATTGTTTTTTTCCCGCTGACGTTGGGACCTTTTCTACTCCCATTGGCCACAGTCCAACCCTACTAAAGCGTAAAGGATAGTACACTGGCCATTTGCTTAGAAAGTTTAGAGACCCCTGCTATGTACCGTTTATACAGTGCTGCCAGGAACCACATAAATTAGTAAAGAAAATAGTCTGTTTGGGCCAGTTTGGTCCCTTTGATTATGTCCAATTTGGTGTTGAAGTTTTGGAATTTTGGTACCTGTTGACAGGCATTGAGTCCTATATGTCCATACATTTTGTAAAGAATGCAGTAACTGAATGAAGCTAGGATTTTTTTAACTTTTTACCTTGGGAAGGGATCTTGTAAATTTAGACTGAATACTTTATACTTGTGAATGAATCCAGATTCTGGAATGCATACTGTAGAACCTACACTTGTCTGTGTAGGTTGGTCTGCCTGGACTAAGGTTGAATGTGCTGTCATGATATACATGGTTTGCATTATAAGGCGACAATGTATAGAGACACTCTGTGTGAGTGTTGTCAGCCTATGCATGGAAATCAGTTTGAAGGCTCACATTGGCTGGATCACTAGGCGCAATTGCAGTCACATTGTGGAGCCTGATAATATCCTTTTGTTCATATCAATCAAAGTTCACATTGCTTAGCGTGAAGTCATTGGTGTACTCCTTGTTATATTATTAACCTAATATTTATTTTCCCGAACTGTTCAAATTTTTTACCTTCTTTATATAATTGTGTTTAGTTCCATAAACATTTTGTGATGTGAAGTGTTGCTGTTAAACTGGCTTATATGTGTGATGCTGTAGATGTTGACTGGGTTCACTCTTAAATCATAGACGTTCCTGTCCAATTAAAGGGACACTGCATATTTTCCCAAATTTTTTTTTCTCATTTTTTACCAGTGTGCTTCATTATACAATCATTTGGGCTTTGTTTTATAAATAGTCATATATAATATCATGATAGTGTGTAGATGTATAGCTTTTCAAATGTGTATATTCTAAATCCTAACTGTATACTATAATTAGGGCTTTGCAAACATTTGCCCATGATGCTCATGGCACATCATACAGCCATGTGAGTAGGAATTAACTGGAGTGCACTTTTATTACCAATCCTTTGAGTCTGTAGGGCAACACTATAATAGATTGTTTTAAGATGAACTCAAAATGCATGCATTTTTTGGAGTCCTCTGGCGCATTAGGCCAATGCCGAGAATGGCTTCTTGTAAGGCATTTGGTTGCATGGCATACCTAGGTGAAATTCATTCTCCAGATATTTTCATGCCAGATTAATGGTTAAAAAAATTGTGTGTGTATATGTATGTGTGTAATATATATATATATATATATATATATATATATATATATATATATATTTTTTTTTTTTTTTTTTTACCAAAGCTTGCGTATTATGGTGGAACAGAATTTTACAGCTACAGTGCCATCTTCCTAAAGATGGACTGGGTGTCCCACTAGCCACATTCATAAAAGTATTCTTGAGGTTTCATGTATACTATGGAGAAGGGAAGACGTAAGAAGGTGTTAGAATTATTTGAGCCTCATTTTCACTATAACAGTCCTCATCTGAAGCATTAACATGCATGAGGGATCCTACAGCACTTTAGTACATTCAATATGAAATTCTTTACCGTGAGAGACAAAGGCTACTACTAATAATGTCTGAGTCTTGTTTTTGGACTGTTGAAATTTCTGGGCTTTTAGTGACAATTTTTATCTATTGAAACACCATGGGGTGAAACATCTAGGCTACAGATCCTCCACGTCAATGTCTGGATACAAGTACCAAATATCAGAAGTTCTGTATTTTAGGAGTTAGTTGCTATGTTAGTACATGGACCAACATTTTGGTGACAAGCAGCCCAGTGTTCTTTCAAGTTGTTTTAAAGGATAAGTTCACCTTTATACAAACAAAATTATAAATGCACATTTTTTTTGCAGGTAAAAAAAAATGTTTATTATTTTTTGTTGCAGGGGCCTCTAAAGTATTGCACCAGCAATCAGCAGATTTCTGGTGCCATGCAGGTCTCCTACAAATTTGTCAGTATATCTGCTTGCCCATACGGGATAGCTGATATACTAACAGGAAGACTCAATTAACTACCATGGCGCTCCACAGCACTGTGGTAGTGCATTGAGAACTACAAGCCGACAGCTGCTAAGGTTGCGGGACTTCTAGTTTCTCATTCACATAACACAGCGAATGAGTGCACGGCTGCATTTTTTTCTTAAGTTTGACAGCGAGGGGGGAGAAGATCCCCTGCTAGTTGTCAGAGCAGGGAAAGCTAGGGCCAATGCATTCATAACATGTTACACCTTGAATATGGGTGTAACATGTTATGAAAGGTGAACTTATCCTTTAAAGAGCATCTACAGGGAATGAGCAACATCAGTGGTTAACTGCTACTGATATCTAAGAAACAATGGTTCATATTTTACCTCCAAGTTTTATAATTGCTTGCCCTAAAATTCATCAGACATTCAACAGTATGGTATGACTACAATTGTCCTCTCATGCTCTGATTTGTTAGTGATTTGTGGTTAGGCTGCAACATACTTGGATATAGAGATGAACCCTTATAGCAGACTGCCTTTTTTTTCACAAGCTCTGATAGAGTAAGATGATCTGAATATTAGGCTGTTAAATAGCAGAGAATCTGGATGACAGGGATATATACTGCATGATTAGCAGAAGATGACCTCCGATACAAACCCCTTTGCCTTTATTAAACATAGACCTTTAGGTTCCATGTATATAAAAGCATTAATGCAGTGTGTACTATTGCATGTAACATGCGTTCCTGCTTTGAGGTGCTGTTCATTTTGAATGGCACTGCAAACGTATCTATTTTGCAGCATGCTGCAATGCACAAAAAAAGGGTCACATCTAATTTTCGGCACTTTGGGGTGCAAAAGCAGTCCATTCATTTTAATGGGCTGCCTAAACACAACATGTGTTAACTTATGAAAGGGGTGTCCAACCTTTTGACATTCTTGGGCCACATTGGAAGAAAAGGAATCGTCTTGGGCCACACCTAAAATACACTACAATAAGGATAGCTGATGAGCAGAAAAAGTTGGACAGATCACAAGGTAACGATCACTGATATAGATAATGGGGTTGATTTATTAAAACTGGAGAGTGCCAAATCTGGTGTAGCTTTGCACAGAAACCAATCGGCTTCCAGTTTTTTTTTTTTGTAAAAGTTTATTGAAAAAGCTGAAGTTGGAAACTGGCTACCATGCATAGCTGCACCAGATGTTGTACCCTCCAGTAAATCAACCCAATGTACCTATTTGAGTAATAAAACTTAATTTTATTTGTAATATTTTTTATTATAAAACTAAAAGTGGGCAACCTAAAACTAGTGCGATATTTGGCACTGTTTTTGATAAACGAACGCATCAATATCTGGTTCGATGGATGTAGTATGAATTCTCAAGGTGATCATCAGATATTTTGGTTCTTATTTTGCCCTTCATGTGCTTCATCCTTGAAAATAGTTTCTCACAACTATAGGTACTGCTGAAAATGGATGACATGAATAAGGCATGATTGTGAAGAGTTATTTTTCTTTGGGAAGATAAAACTTCTAAAAGTCCAGTAAAGAGACACTGTCAAATTTTTCTTCGGCCGTATGTGTTCAGTAAGTGTAAATGCATTTTTTCAAAATAATCCCCCCCCCAAAAAATCAGCAATTTTAAGTACGTTTATGATTTCTTGTTGAGCTGCATTCATAGCTGTCTTGCGCCACAGGTTGGACACCCCTGACTTACAACATAATGCATGTTAACACACCACAAAGACCTAGAGGTTCATTCACATCCTTGTGTCTTTGTGGCATATTAAATGCATTTTGCAATGGGCTGCCATTGATTTGAAAGCCACCCCACAATGCATTTTCTAGTGCATTTGTGCACATTGCTCTGTTCTGCGATACAGAATAGACCTCATGGTGCATTGGGGTGCCATTTAAATGAATTTTAATGTACGTTACTCTGTATTTTGGTTAAGTGCTTGTTTAAAGCGGTATGTATGAGCCCAACTATTTTTGTCGTTTTGGATAGTGTAAGGGAGGGTTAGAACTTGTGCCAGATTATTTTTTTCTGTCTGTGTACCATAGGGGAAATTTCCCTTCACGTCCTGTACCAGGGACTTAGCAGGAAGTTAGTGGAAATCTCGAAAAGTGTTAGCAGTTCCCCTTTGTAGTTGATATCCCCATTTGAAGATTTTCCCTTACATATTATTCCAACCCTCCCCTAAGAAAACTACAAAAAAAGGTTGTGCCTAGAGATACGCTTTAATGTTCTTATGTGACATTTTTCACCAGGATGTGAACTCCTTCAACTGGTCACTTATGAATAGTGTGACCTGCTTATTAAATCCGTGTGGTGTGCATTTATTAACTAGTAGATCTCACTGTTTGTTACAACTTTTTCAGTATTCCTTTTTCACATGTAAGCCAACCTAAATTGCTTTAGTGTATACTGATCTAGCTATTAGGGTTAGTATGACTGTGACCTTTGGGACCAGGTGGTTCTTTATGCGTTACCATTGACCAACCTCAGTGTACAGCAAATGTCATTGCACTCAAATTCAGGAATTAACTGTGTGCTTCAAACACATACACCATTTAAATGTTCATTTTTTTATTTGTGTGTTATTTCATTTTATATAAATTTTTTTTTTTTTTTCAGTTTACAAAGTTTTAATGTTGCATGTAATTTCCTCAAGTGGTCTTTTTTTTTTTCTTCAAGAAGTCATCTTACTTATGTATACACATTGTTTTGCAGCTAACATTCATTTTTTTTGTTGAATTGCATGGCAACGTATATTTAGTGCATGAAAGCATTCAAATGCTAACAAGTGACATTTATATGACAATAATACATATATATATTTTAAGAGCTCATTGTTGTGTTTTTTTTTTTTTTTATTTTCATTTTATTTTGTATTTTTTTTATTGTGCTGCTTTGTTGAATGTGAATGATTCATGCTTTTTCATTCACCATTGCTTCTCTTTCCTCACTGTTTGTGATTTGCCTACCAGGAGGAGCTACTATTCTTACTCCTACTACCTGTAAGTAAAAACTGGCCACCTATTTTATTTGGATTTTTAACACTTAACATAAGATGCAGTATCCCTTTAAAAATAAATACAGCGGTAAGATCACAGGGCTGGCAAATAAATGTATAAGCCAGTTGTGCAGTTGTGTCTTGCCAACTGCCTTGAGTCTTAAAAAAAAAAAAAAGCTTAACCATCCTTTTGTTAGTGAGCCCTAAGGAAGAGTTTGAAAGTTAAAGCTCACCAAAAGTTGAAAACATTTGTAAATTTATGAAATTTATTTTTTTAATTGTGTTTATCGCTAAAATTATTCCTTCCTTAGTGAGACAATATGTTCAGAAAAAGGGACTAGCCATTGTTATTAAGAGAAGACTCAACACTTCCAAGAGAGAAGAGACAGTATTTAATATATGGCTGGCATTGGTTACTGTTGCTTTATTTTTTTAGAGGGATAACCTACTGAGTGTGTCATAAGTCACTAACACCTTTTGTTGCACGCTGTTTGTCTATGGGTCATGGTTTCCTCCTTCTAACAAACTTATATGTAAATAAAATTGTTTTTTAAAATCTGTCTGCTTGGGTATTAGTCTTAACTATTTATCCAGGACGCTGCACGTGGTGGTGTTTAATTTGGGGCAGTGTAATAGTATTTTTGTAGGTGTTAATTAGTATTTCGAAAACAACAAATTCTCTATATTACGGGTAAGTACTGTAGGATCGGTTATGGAAGTATAGCAGGTTATGTACCACCTTTTTTCCTCTACCTACTCATTTCTAGTTAGTGCTGACGGGTGCAGCGTTTAGTGTTTCTCTCAGGTGAAATGGTTTTTATGCAAGTCTTATGCCTAAGCTGCATATTTTTTCCTTTACATTCTAATTTTCCCTGAATTTATTAGTTCTTGGCATATCTGTTTCTTATATAGGGCTGTGGGTGAAGTGTGTGTGAATATTCAGGTGTATTTAAACCCAAATAAAATATAATATATATTTAATAAAAAAATGGTATATACTGCTTAGTTATTATACAGTACATGACACAAGAATGAATTCATAGACCATGGGTCATACGTCATTAACTTCAGGTGATTGGACACTGCAAAAGCTTGGCTGGTTCCACCCCCCCCCCACACACACACACACACACTACCCCCCAGTGTATCCATATAACACAGTCTACACCATGAGGCTCCAGTGTCATTAGGTGATGGATGCCTTCTCTTGAAGAAGAATTTCCTACTATTTTTTACCAGGATTTTTTTTTACCTTTGACTGACACATCTATCAAGACCTGACTGAATATTGCTTTTATGGCTACCTAGCAGCTTCTGCATTGGTTACCCTTGAGTACACCTTGGGAACCGTACCCAGAACCTGCGGCAGCAGGGCTTGTCTATAATGTTTGCTTCAGACACTGGTTCCTGCACTTGGCACTCACCTTGGTACTTAATATAATGAGTGTAGTTAGCTGCAGGTTGTTAAAGAGGGCCAGAGCCATGGTCCATCTCTATGTCACTCAGACCCTGACTCCTTTACAAGTATGCCTATTATGACAGGCAAAGCCTTTACCCTGAAGTGGCCCAGCAACGTGGACAAGGTAAGACAGGGTTTCCCCGAACCCTTATGCATATCGATTCCTGGCTTTACGTCTCTTGATGACTTTGTAGCGTACACTACATCCTCATCCTTCCAAACATGCTGCAGTGCCATGCACACAAGCATTTTATGAGGCACAAGTGTTGGAAGAGACTCTATTAGTGGTTTTCCCTAGCTTTTGATGTCAGAAGGCATTTTCTGCTGACAGCGCAAGCTAATTACTTGCCACTCCACCTGTTGCCGAACTTCTCAGATACTCCAGTCCCTTTAATTGGGCTCCCTCACAGGTGCATACCTGTCTAAGGCAGAATTCAGTGAGTCTTTGTCTGGTCTATTCCAGTGGCTATTGCTATTTCTGGAATTGGCAGGGGCCATCTGTCGCAAATGAATACTAAAGTGTGGGGTCTTGTGAGCTACTATGGTGTGTATAAAGTGATAATAAATAATTAAATGATCCTATAACTGTGATATACAAATAAAATTAAATAAAATTATGTATAAAGCTGTGAAAATGTGGTTCGCTTACACTCTACTCATACTCATACCATTGTGTCATAAAGCATAAAATCAGAAATAGTGTCATACTCCTAAATTCCCCTCCCCCTAAAGCACGCGCACATCACCCCCATACTCAAAAAACCCTCCCTGGACCCCACTGACCTGAACAACCTTAGACCTATCTCCCTGCTGCCATTTACATCCAAGCTCCTTGAGCGCTTAGTCTACAATCTCCTAAGCTCCCACCTCACTGACAACAACCTCCTCGATCCACTACAGTCTGGCTTCTGTCCCCTACACTCCACCGAAACCGCCCTACTCAAAATCACTAATGACCTGCTAACCGCCAAAGCTAATGGCCACTACTCAGTCCTCCTACTCCTCGACCTTTCCGCGGCCTTCGACACAGTTGACCACCCCCTCCTCCTTAATAAATTACACTCCCTGTGCATCAGAGACTCTGTTCTCTCCTGGCTCTCCTCCTATCTATCCCAATGCTCCTTTAGCGTTACCTATAGCGATACCACCTCTGTTTGGGTCTCCCAAGGCTCTGTATTCAGGCCCCTTCTCTTCTCCATCTTCACCCCCTCCCTCGGCAAACTGATACACTCCCACGGCTTCAACTATCACCTCTACGCCGATGACACGCAAATCTACCTCTCCACCCCTCACCTCACCCCTTCAGTCTCCGCCCATATCGCCCACCTACTGAACGACATATCAGACTGGATGTCGCTCCATTTCCTCAAACTGAACCTATCCAAAACCGAGCTCCTAATTTTCTCCCCAGCCCACGCCCCCATCCTCTCCATCACGACCAACAACGCCACCATCAGTCCCACCCCGCAAGCCAAAGTCCTAGGTGTCACTCTAGACTCAAACCTGTCCTTCCAACCCCATGTCCAATCGTTGGCAAACTCATGCAGGCTCCACCTCCCCAACATCTCCAAAATACGTACGTTCCTAACCCCAGACACTACTAAACACCTCGTTCACTCCCTTATTATCTCATGCCTGGACTACTGCAACTCCCTTCTCACCGGCCTACCCCACCACAGGCTATCCCCACTTCAGTCTATCCTGAACTCTGCGGCCAGACTCATCCACCTCACCAACCGCTCCGCTTCTGCCACCCCCCTCTGTCATTCCCTACACTGGCTTCCGATTGCCCAACGCATTAAATTCAAAATACGAACACTGACATACAAAGCCATTCATAACGCTGCCCCAAACTACCTCACCGACCTGATACCCAAATACCGCCCAACCCGTACTTTTCGCTCCTCACAAGACCTCCTACCTTCTAGCTCCCTGGTCTCCTCCTCCCACGCCCGACTGCAGGACTTCTCCAGGACTTCCCCATCCTCTAGAACTCACTACCCCAATCCATCAGACTGTCCCCTACCCTCCCCACCTTTAGGCGCACCCTGAAAACCCATCTCTTCAGGGAAGCCTACCCCATCCTCACTTAACAGCCGATCTCTTCCACTCCTACCACTCCATCCCCCACAGCCACTTCCTCCTGTACCACTATCCCCTCCCTCCTAGATTGTAAGCTCGAAAGAGCAGGGCCCCTCAAACCCCACGTGTACTGTTTTGTCACTGTATTGTCTCATGTTCTGTCCCCCACTATGATGGACAGCGCTGAGCAAACATTTTGGCGCTATATAAATACTGTAATAATAATAATAATAATCCTCTTTAAAATTTTTGTTTGAATAAAGTAGTGCACTCACATATAATTACAAGTTAAAACCGCATTAAAAGTTAAAATTAGAATCCACAGTAAGGTTTTCCAATATTGCTGAATACTTGCTGTATGTTGCTTTAAGCATCGTGTCGGCAGAGCCCCTTCCCTACGCATTACACCACTGGGTCACATGGCTTTATCAAGTCGACTGCTTCTGCTATTAAGTTTGAGTTCATTGACCCTGGTTTCTTCTCGCAAGACTGTACCTACTGTTAGCGTTTTTTTTTTTTTTTTTATCTACTTATTGCTTTCTAAAAAATAATAAAACTGGAGCCCCACTGAGTGAAAGGGGGGAGGATGGTGGTGGTGGTTGATGATATACTGGGGGTTGGACCCAGCAAAGCTTTTGCCAGTGTTCAGTCACACAAAGGCGGCAGCATAAATCCCATAGTCTATAAATAGACACTTGTGTCCTTTTATTTAACTCCAAGATATGGAATTTGCGGGTATGTCAAAATTCCTATTTTCACCTGGTGACCCTGCCAGTAAAATGCACTTTTGTCCTAGAATGACGACACTAAATTGCTGTGTGGAAGAATAGTGTTATCACACCAGGTCAAGCGTGTTAGGTCTACAAAACAACACCTACTTTCAACATTTCCGTTACATAGTTAATAGGTGATTTGTAGTAGAGGGGGGAACTAAGTAGGGGTGATAACACTGCTTGAGATAAGAATGAGTCCACAACACATAGGACAACTGGATTTCTGGCAAGATCAACAGTTTTGCTTTTTACAAATTGAACAGATATACCAAAAAGCTTTCAGTGGAGTATTGGTAGATTTAACCAAATGGGAGAAAATAAAATATGTTCACTGTTACAGTTTACATACAATTTTTTAATATGTTCAGATAAAAAATATAGAGCAAAGAGCAAGAAAAAATCTTTTTTTGCTCTTTTTGGACATTCGACATAATGTTTTATGGGGGTACAAAGCTTTCCAGGCAGAGGCAACAAGATCTCCTATGCTTTTGGCCTTGAAGCCACTGGAATATCACTCTGTGAGGTTGATGTACTGATGGCAAATAGGCTGTTCACTTTGCAAGGGAGTTTTCCCCAGAGCTTAGTGAATGAGATGAGGCTTTGCTTACGTCCATTATTCAATCGCATACAAGAAAAAATTTATTTTTTAATATTTTACCTGCACACAGTTGAGTATTATTTGCTAAATGA